AACTCCACAAAGGGAGTAGTATCTGGGAGGTGGATTGGCCATGGAGACGACGCAATATCTGTTACGTGCATTTCATTAGTAAAATAAAGTGGACTAGTCAGAATCAGATAGAAGGGTATTAAGCCTGGATAACCCTCAAACATGGTTCAAACAGAACAGTTGAGGGAACTGGGGCTCCTTTTACACTAAATCTGCAAACTAACCAAGCATTGTTAGCTAACGCAACTAAAGTTAGAGCTGTTCGAAGTGACGGCTTGCCGACAAGACTTCCATTGAATCTCCAAATGCGTGCGCGATCCCTTAGTGTTCAGTTCAATTTGCACAAGACAGGAGATGACCACAACCAATCGAGAGTTCAAATTACCCCTTTCACCGTAAGCCTTACGTATTGGAAGTTCTTCACTGGTTCTACTTGTTACAGTTGTCTCCGCCACTGTACGGGAAGAGAAGGGGTATATCTCCTCCTTTGTTTGGAAGGGAGACCTCACCTTTGGAAGCGTTCTACTGGTAGGGGTGGTGAGTAAATGGAAGAACCTGTTACCATTGCTAGATATAATACTATGCGTCTATTTCTGGAATTAAATTTAACCAGCGATTATTTAGTTCTTTTTTAATGCATTTACGCTGCCCAGCTCCACCAGCTTCTGTGGTAACTTATTCAATGAGGTGGCTGAAACGTTTCAACGCACCCTGTTATGTCCCGCCGAACTATCACTGAACCTGGTCTAACGATGCGTATCTCAACGATTCCAACAAAAAGACATTTGGAAAAATCAGTGCGAGCCTTTATTGGTATCACCAGACAAAACGTGGTCGTGGTCATGGTCAAGCAGGGGAAAGAGAACGTGTGGTATTTATGGGGTTGCTCACTGTCTAGACAGTTGCCCGGAATGGGGTTACATGGGTGGCGATGGAGGACTTACCGAAAATCAGGTCACTGTGCCTTGTACTTTTACTCTGACTCACACGTATCCAGTACGATCGAGAAAATGCCGACACGTTCACAGAGTCGCGACTGGCACACCCTTTTTCTGGTGCGCAATTTATTCAGCTTATACGTGTGCCCTCAAGCGTTGATTTGCAGCTTCTTGAAGAAAACTTTCTAATCCGTCCCATATAGATCATTCATAATTTTGAACGTCTCTATCAATTTGCCTCAGAATCTTATTCTTTTAAAAGTGAAGAGTGCGAGATTCTGCGGTCTGGCTACAGGACTTTCATTGATGTCCTTTGTTTACCATGATGGATTCCCGCGGAGCAAGTGGCATCATTTTAAAGAAGGAAGCCTAGGCTTGTACACAATATGATAGGTGCGGTAGAACAATTTCTTTGTATAGAGGCATGAATGCTTCCGGTTTCCTTTATGCTAATGCTGACTGAAGTCTTCAGTCTTCATTAATGATGGCAGAGATCAGGATACCCGTTTATTCCTTGTCACCACTAGGTGGAAGATTCAATCAAATGTGTTCGTTCCTCCATAGCCCCTCAAGGTGTCCATCTAAACGCCGTTTGAAAGCAGCTTCGGTCTTCTCCAATGCAGTGGCTAAAAGTGAATTACAGAGCGTGGTTGACCTCTGCGAGTCGATAGATTAGTGAGGACCAACCGAATGAAGTATACACAACATGCAAGTGCACCCGCATGAGTTCCTTTTTCTCTACGGCAAACTGCTGCTGCAACTTCGGGCTCATATTACCTCAAACAGATCAGATATTCCCTGGGGGGGGGGGGGNACCTTCATAACTGTTCAGGGATTAGACCAATATATAGGTCTAAATTCCTTTTGAAAACGGATTTTGTGGGGGCAAAAACTACTTCTTGGGGGAGGCTACTCCAAACAGAAGTGATCCCGTGGGTGAAAGAGGACTGACAGATTAATGCACGGGGGCACGATTTAAAGAGTTTTATGCTATGTCCACGATAATTATCCATGCTAGTGCACAAGAAGAAATTGTCCAGTAGAAAGATGTCACTTCTTATCCGAAGGGTTTCGAGGGGTACATATTATATATGGAAATCCCTGTACGGTAAGGGCTGGACGATAATCCATGCACAAGCTTCGTCGATCTCCGTTGTACACTCACTGGCAGGGATTTCTCTGCTGTTAACATACAGCAACAGTAAAACACGGTATTTTCTGAACGTATTACTATTTGGTTTCCCCAAGAGTTATCTGAGTTTCGAAAGGCTTTCATCGTATCTTGCAAGGTCAAATCTCAACAAGGTGGAGTAACTCTCAGAGCATACACAAGATTCACCATGGAGAAACGAATCAGAGCTATATGGGGATTAAATGCAAATATGTATGTCGTTGATGTTCAGCTTGTAAAACCTGTATCTCGCACTTCCGCGTGGTGGTTTTGTTTACTGACGTCTTTGGTTGGACAAGGATGCAGTAAACGGAAGACCTAGCGTCAGAGTTATAAATATACGGACACTATCGATTCAACTGACCCCAAAGTCTCTAACTTGGAATCCTAAACTGTGCAAAGCCTCTGGTCAGTGATTTCATGCGTTATTGCCCGGTCTTGGTTTGACCACCCTTCTTACTCCGCCTACAACCTGTTTCGAAGAACACCGCATACAAGACCATACGGCAACATGCGTCGAACATGCCACAGCAATCGTATTCCAACGGGATTAAGCAATTGCGCTGGTGAGGGATTACGATAACCGAACACTTGGGAAAAAGCCTCAGCGTTAATTATTCAGTCATACGATGTACATAGCAGTGTTCAAACACAGGCAGTTTGTTTTTATCCTTCATCCGTAAACCGCTGTCTCTGCAAATTCTGCATATCAACTGGACGACAGCAGCACACGCCTGATACTTTTCTTAATTCCATGCGATAAATATAGTGAGTTCGATAAAGTTTCTTTGTGATTCATTTTCTATTATGTCCCAAAGAAACAGGAAGCAACTAATCGAGATAAAGGCAAATATGAGTTCCAATGAACAGAGAACATGAAAGTAGTGAAAGAAAAGTTCAAGTGGAGCAACAGTCCAGTGATGTACTGGTGACTACATAAAAGAAGTTAGCGTTGGCCTACCCACGATATGTATGTCGTCAGCTGAGGTTTTGCCAACTCCTAACCATGGACTTTAGTTTGGCGGTTACAGTTATCATTTCTGGACTTTGTATAACCATAATCATGTGAAATGAACGTGGACAAGAATTCAGTCTGAACATGAATACAGTACTCACTAACCTATCGGGGCCTTATGTGGTCCGCCACTCCAAGTTCCGGGGCTAAGTCTGCCGATTTCAACCACTGAACAGCAGGTCCTCGTGACTATGGGGTTTACCCCGTCTGCTGTTCATCACACCTAGGTGTGTAATAAACAACTCAAGAGTGTGTGATCAGGTTGTCTGTAGAGAGACGAGAAGCGCCTGGCACAAGAAAAGAAGACCACTGTTTTTTGATAGCACGTAAATCAACGATTATGACACGCGAAGGACAAAACAGTGATGGAGAAAAGTAATGAACAAGAAGAACAGGGAAGGATGGGAACTAAGGAAATAGAGGGTGACAGGTGTCAAGTTTCAGGAAAACAGACAACCTTGAAAACCTATTAACCAAAGACGACCGGAGTTCATTGGTGTTCATATCGTTGGCAGATTTAGGAAACGTGCGTTGGTAGCTCTCTCATGTACCTGTGGCGGCAATATATAGGTATATGTACATATATATATATATATATATATATATATATAAAATCTGTC